CAGGGCAGTGGCCTCCTTACTGTCCCCTCAGCCCACCCCGGGGCGCTCTTTCCCATAACACACAAACCAGAACACACAAATCTGATCGTGTCCCTCCTGAGCCCACAATTCTTGGAGATAAAAATCTAAACTATTTCGCTTGCCCTCAAGGCCCCCGAGCACCGGCTCTGGCTCCCTCTCCCCTCGTTCCCTGGAGTCCAGGAATGCTGTCCTTTTTAGAGTTGCCTGAAAACTCTGCACTCCGTCATGCCTCCCTGCTGTTCCCACCATGAGGGCACTAGCCACGCCTGAATCTCCAGCCGAAAAGCTGCTCTGTTGTCCCTCTTTACAAGCTTTATACACACACAACTGCACAGTAAGGAAGAACGTGGTATTTTCCCCGACACTTTCAGGCAGGTTAAAGCGCTCCTTGTCGTGGGTGCCCACACTTTGGAAATGCTTCCAGGACACATGTGTCCTACCGTACATGTCTAGACTGTGCTTCCTGAAGACGGGCTGTGCCCAGGGCTCTGCCTTCCTGGCCACCTGTGCGTGCCACCTGGCGGAGGTGCTCACTTTCTTGAAATAAATGACTACACACATTGAACACAAATCCAGTTTTATTTCTCACTATGGAGTGCCCTGCCCTGAATGTGAAAGCCCACAGAAATCAAAGGCTGAAAGTTGATGGTGGCCCACAAAACAAATACAGATATAAAGTTATCATCGCTCTTCCGTCAAGAATGGGTTTCAAACTGCTGACTGCGGTGCTGTCGTGGGAACAGCAGCGCCAGCCAGCCCCTGACGACTGAGACAGAGGGGAAGCCGGCCGGGGGGAGCGCTGGCAGGCTGTGTCCCCGGCAGGAAACAGACTGAGCATGTCTCTTGAAATGAGGACAGAAGATACAGGCCGGTGTGTAATCTTGCTCACCGCCTACTCAGCATTAAACCTCATAAGCTCACCGAGAACTTCAGACGGACCAGGTCTTCTGTTTTGCTGAAGCCCACTGCCTCACTCTTGGTTTCTCAGGCTCAGTGCTTTGGGGTGGAAAGCATGAGTTGAGCTTAAACTGTTTCTAGCAGTGGATCCTGTAGGAAGCCCACGCTTTGCAACCAGAGGGAAACAGAGAGAAGGTCAACAACTTTCTACAAACCACGTGGAGAACCTAAAGACGCTTGGAGGGAAAATCACCTGCTGGGCAAAATCTTACCCATGCCAGCTCTGGATGCCTGGAGGTGGGGTCAGGGAGCTGTGCATGCTTCCCTTGTGGGTTGGGGTCAGGACACTGCAGAGAGACAGCAGACAGGTCCTGGGTGGCCACCTGGCCAGAAGGTGGATGCCCTAGGGAGTGAAACACCTGTAGAGCTGATGACCATGGGAGGAGGCACACCCACACTGGCAAAAAGAACAGCCTAGACAGCATTCCTAGTCCACTGGACACATTATGTGGGAAAAACACTAATATTTTTTTCCATGCACTTCAAAAATAGAAAAATACAATGGGGGAAATTTTAATACTGACATGGCAGATAAAGTTCACGCAGCACCTTCTTAAAACAACACTCTGCAAAGGAGGGCCTGCTTTGGAACTCCCCTTTTCATGGCCTCATAAAGCACTGATTTATTGACCTTCGAAGATACACCTTTATTGTTTCAGTTTTCCTGGTGTAAGAATTGCTGGTAGATAACTGAAAAAGCAAGCTCACATTTCCTTATCAACACAGAGAATGTGTTCATATTACAGATTTGCCATTTTCGGGGAAAGTGGTGGGAAGGAAATAATGTTAGGGGGAGGCATTTGAAACATCTGTTATCAACCAAGTGAACTAAAAGGCCACTGATCTACATGGCTGTGGTTCTCAGAACAAAGTGTCTTCCCTCTAGGATGGGATGGGGGCAGGGAAACGGCCAGGGCAGGTGCCCAGCACCCACCTGCCCTCTGGTCCCAGCTCCACCCTCGGGGATTTCCTCTGCGGGGTCTCCCCACAGGCCTGTCCTGGGCCCTGCAGCCTATCTGTTTCTGAAGAGTCTACCTTACCAACTCAATAAGGGCCATACAAGAGTTATCTCGAAAACTATAAATGTTTAATGCCCCATCTGTTTGGTAGGGTTTCCTGAATTAAGTGCTTTGTGCTATCTATAAAGTCATAAAAATGTGAGTTTTTTTTTTTCTTTTTTGGCAAGATTCCTTTAGGCCTAAACATACTCACGCCATCCTCTCGGCTAGAAAGCTTTCTTCCTCAAGTACCTCTTAGAGTCATTCCTTCTCTGACCCTTGATTTCCTCCCCATCCTCCAAAGACCACGGCAGAACCCCCTTCCCCCAAAAGTCCTCCCCATTCCTCCAGCTACACTCAGTCTCTCCGGCTCTCGGCACCCTCTGCGCCTCTCTTATCACAGGCTGCTTCACCCGTCTGGTCCTCTCGACTGGACTGTGACCTGTGAAGACAGCTATGTCTTCGTCTTGTTTCTCACCAGCACCATGTTTTATGTACCATCAATGTCTGCTGGCCTGGCTATGAATGGATTTGCCCTTAGGTCTTGGATACCTGGAATTAACCTGGCTATGTATAATCAATTATCTAATGAAAACAGTGTGCTTCTATTATTTTCTTACTTGGAACAAACCAAACTAGCAACACAAAAACTTAAAATGTTTTATCTGTAGGCAAACACTCTTTTTATGGATGAAAACAAATTCCCTCACAAATACAGGCGGACAGAGATATAATCACCGAAATGTTTGAAAAGGCAAAACACCTAGCCTTTCCAGGTAAGTTTAAATCTATTTAATATAGTGTAAATGAAACTAGATACAATGCTTGCAGATAAAGCACTTTCTAGAAGCTGTTTTTGCCAAGTATTTTACAAAACCAATCCCCTGCCCCTAATAAGCAGTTCTTCAAGCCTTGCCCGGTGTGTGATGAAGAAAATCAATAGACAGCCAATGCAATTCCTTTTTTTTTGAACTAATAGAATAGGTTGGCCAAAAAAACAGTAATTGAACGCACACAGTGCCTATAACCGCAGTGTCGCTTCTGGAGATAATAACGTGATACTACATCCAGCTCCACCTCTCAGAGTGGATGGATTTCCACTGGGGAGATTGGGCACAAACCCTATCATTTGATTAGAACTGTCCCAATGGCATTTGATTGCTTCCTGTCGAGGTATGATTGAAAAATGCACATAATTCAAGTGGTCTAAAGGGAAGGGTAACAGCGCTTGTTGAAAGGTCTCTCCAAAAAATAAATTTGTTTCGCTAGCATTTGTTGTTATTATTCGAGCCTACTGTACCTTATGCATAGATGTGGGCAGTTTCTGCAATAGCAACGTGAGACGCTCTTTAAAACCATATTCTTGGTGTGTTTTTCTCAGGAGGCTGGCTGTTCACTGGAGCTGGTCCTTTACTTCAAATAAGGTAGCACCCTGTCCAACCTGTTGGACACTTAATTAAGCAACACCTCAAGTGCTTAAAATAAAAATTCCACTAGGTTTTTCCGCCTTCGTTTCCCTCAACCAACCGTTCTAGAAGACCCAGACATGTAGGAACGAAATAGGATGAATCTTCACGAGGATGTTCCGCTCCAGCCCACAGCATATTCCTCTTATTTTCGTCCATGCTTTCACCCCAGGCTGGCCTCCCTCCCTCTTCTCAGCCCAAATACAGTTCTACAAGCACCTCTCCTGTGTCTTCACGGGGTTCTGTGCCACCCTGCCAAACAATGTTAACAACAGCTTAAGCCAATTTTAAGAGAAGGGGAATCTGAAACTGCTGAAACCAAGAAAACCACCACCATTTCCCTTGCCTCTGAGGTACTTCCAAGTACACAAGATTTTTATAGTATTTGTGGTGCTGGGCTTGCCGCACTATAGCTCTCCCCCGGGAGGACAAACATCAGTGGCTGGCTTTATTTACTTGGCAGCTGGACTGAGAGATCGGTAAAGAAATTTCTTCTCAGAGGACTGGGCGGCAAGGATCAGGGAAGGTGCTCATTTTCTGGCCCCTCAGCACTCTTCAGGCTGCAGCCCTCTATCAGCCCTGCGGTGCTCCTAAGGGGATGGCCCCTGAGGGGAGCCCCAGGTGCATCCCGGGCTGGGGAGACCCAGAAGGGCCTGGTACCAGGGAGACGAACCACAGCCCCACTGTGGGTGCCTGTCCCGGCCCCTCCCGGGCCGAGCGCACGGAACTGGCTGTTTCGGGCTCTGTACTGACTTGAAGCTCGTGTACCTTGGTTTCTCCAATTGCAAACAGTACTTCGTCCTAACATCATCAAAGAGCTTCTGAGAACACGTGATTCGAGCTATTCAGGGCCAGAACCTGAACTGGTGGACCTTAAACTGTTTTGGTGGGGGGAGGGGTGGAGGGTGGGGGGGGGGGAGTCGGAACGGAGACACACAAAAAAGGGGAGCATAAAAAAGAAACGTGATGTCAGCTTCTCGGAAGAAACTGCCAAATTCGGTTTCACTGCCCGCTCCGGCCATCCCCGCGAGGCGAGTACTGCTCTAGTCCTCAGATGACCAACGAAGCTGAGGCGGGACAGGGTGCGAGCGAAGCGCAGTTAGAGGGAGTGACCCAGAGCTCCGGGGGACTCGAGGTGGCCCGAAAGGAGAAACCGCATTCGGGGGGGACTGCCCACTGTGGGCCCCGTCGCGGCTTCGCACGGTCTCCCTCGGTGATGCGGTTCGCAGCGGGAAGGGGCTGGCTCTGGGCCGCGGTCTCCGCAGCAGCTACCCTGCGTGGGAACTCCGGACGGGCTCCAGAAACGTTCGCGGAATAAACGACATCATCAAAGCCTGTCCCTAAGCGGGACTTTTAGAAGCGCCGCGTCCGCGGGCTGGGGTCCCGCAGCTCCCCCTTCCGCGCCCCAGAACCGCTCTACTCGCCCTATCCCTCCTTCCACCGTCCAAGGCGGGGACCGCCTCCCCCGGGTTTCCGCCGTCTCGGTCCAGGTCTCGGGACGTCCCGCAGCCCCGCGCCCCGTCCTGCCCCAGCCCCGGCGGCCGGGCGGCTTCCTTACCTGCAGCGGGCCGAGCAGGGCGCACAGCGCGAGCAGCGCGGGCAGCGGGCGGCGCCGCCGGGCGCGCGGGGCCATGGCGCGGAGGGCCGGGCTGGGGCCGCGCTCTGCGGCCTCTGAGGTCCTGGCGGCGCGACGGCCTGGGGCTTCGGGGTCGCCCCGCCCCGCCAGGCCCCGCCCCGCCCGGGCACCTGTCCCCGCCCGCCCGCGCTGCGCCCCCCTCCGGCCGGGCCTGCCAAGTGGAGCCCGAGCGCGGGGCGCGGCGTCTGCTTTGCGGGCGTGCCAGGGGTCGGGGGCGCTGGGGGCGCTGGGAGCGAAGGCGGCGACAGGGACCCGGGCGCTCATCGCCCCGGACGCCCGCGTGCTCTGCCCAGTGGGCGCGTGAGTTAGCCCGGGAGCTTCCCATCCTTGGCTCCTCGGGTTGCACGCCGCCACCGAGCACCCCCTGCAGAGACAGGGTTGCCTGCGACCTGACCTAGGTGTCTTTCTCGTTCGCAGGCACCGGCCGGCCTGCATCCCAGGCCTCCTGGGCAGGATTACCGGGGAAGGCAGGCGGCCTAGCGGCCCGGCCCCCGCCCAGCGCCCGCCCGGAGCCCGCGCGCTCAGCCCTCCCAGGCGGAGCTTCCCAAAGGTGGATGCGCCACCACCGCGGATGGACGAGAAGAGGCCCTTTACTGGAAATCTCGTGGACTACACTGAAAGGATTACCACAATATCCGTGCAGCATGTTCATAAAATCTCCTCTTTCAAAGTTTACCAGCCAGCAGCCACCTCCTCTTGCTTTTCCTCCAGGCTGCCAGCCACCAGCCTGTCTCCACCCCTACTAGCCAGATGCGGGGACGCAGCACCTGTTGTTGTGGTCCCTTGTTCTTCCTTGCTTAGGAGTGTGTCTTCCCTCACATTCTAGGTCGATGCTGGATGCACATGTATACCCACTCCTTTGTATAGATAACTTTTTGAGTGAAAATACTTGTCCCATGTCAATAGAATGTATTGTTTTGAATTCTTTGAATGCCGCCAACTATCTGCTTGCCTTACTTTTGGCGCAGCACAGGGTGTATCTTAGTGAATATTCCTGTGCACAGGAAAAAACGTTGTCTTCCACCGCTGTTGGGTGAAGTGGTTTACAAATATCAATTAGGTCAAATTGGTTGAAATAACCATATTGATTTTCTGTCTGCTTGTTCTGAAAAAACTGAAATCTCCAACAATACCTGGATTTGTCTATTTTTCCTTTCAGTTCTCAGTTTTTTCTGCCATGTTTTTGAATTGCTGATTTGAGGCATAAACATTTAGGATGTTTATGTCTCGATGAATTGACCCTTTTATCATAATTACATGTCCTCCTTGATTGGTGGTAAAATTTCGGGTTCTGATGTCTTTGATATTTGTTATACAGCCACTTCACCTTCTTATGAGTAGCATTCACATGGTATATCTCATTCTATCATTTTAATTTATGTTTATTTAAAGTGACAGCATATAGTTGAGTCTTGCTTTTTCATCTTATCCGGTTTGACAATCTCTATCTTCTGACTGGAGTGTTTAGACCATTCACATTTAGTATGATTACAGATATGGTGAAGTTTAAGTCTACTATCTTGCTATTTGTTTTCTATTTGTTCCATCTTTGTTCCTTTTGTCCTTCTTTTGAATGACTTGAGTATTTTTAAGGATTCCATTTTTTCGCCACTGAGAGCTGATTTTATATACCTGCTTGTTTTATTTTTTTAGCTCTGGGTTTATAATATGTGTCTATAACTTATCACAGTCTACCTTCAGATAAAATTCTGCCACCTCTTGTACACTGAGAACCTTAGAACAGCACACTTCCATTTGCTCCTCTGACCTTTGTGCTACTGTAGTCATACTGATTGCTTTGCTTTGTCACTCCCTACTGTGTGGCCTGATTGGTGTACTGCCCAGCTGCTTTTGTGCTTTTTGGAAAGCAATCTTGTAGTGTTGATTAAAAAAATTAAAAGTGAAAATATCCTTTTACAAAGCAATTCCATATCTTGGAATCTAACATATCAATACATAAAGAGAAAGGTACCAGGATGTTTACCTTAGCATTTCTGTAAAGCCACAAAGAGAGAAAACTGTGAATGTGTTTATAGAGAAATGGTAGAAAAAAATTGTGGTCCATCAGTGTAAAATATAATGCAGCTTTTAAGAAAATTAAGTAGTTTTAGAAGATGTCTGTGATATAGTAAGTAAAAGAAGCAAGTTACAGAGCAATATCATCCCATGTTTGTAAACAACAATTATAAACACTTACTTATATAAGCAAAGGAAGTTTCTGGAAAGACAATAATAATAGCAAACACTAATAGCATACCTACACTTACAAATTCATTTACTCCTCACAACAGCCTTGTAAGGATTGCTATTATTAGTCTTATTTTACAGATGAGGAAACTGAGGCACAGAGAGGTTAATAACGTGCCTAGGGTCCCTCGCAAAAAGGTCAGAGCTGGGATTCAAACCCTGGCCGTCTGGTTCTGGAGTGTGAGCCCTGCTTCACTAACCACCAAATTTTTAACATCAGGTGAGTTGCAGAAGGGAAAGGAGAAACTACTAATTTTATTTTTGATGTTTCTAAATTATTTACATTGAGGAAAAGTACTTTTGCATTTTAACTGACAGTTGTGTAAACATGGTAAGTAGATGTTAAAACTCTAAACAAAGTAAGTACAGGAATGGTTGCAAGTACAGATTAAAGAATATTTAGTTATCTGGCCTATTATTGTCTTGAATGTGGAGCCAAGCTTTCTGGAAAAAGTGGTATGAAAGCTGGATGAGACTATGATTTTGCTAAAGGGAACTGACTTGGGGGAAAGGGTACTTTCACTGTGGCACTTCATGAGAAATACCAAGGCTTAGTCCTGGCACATTTCCAATGTTACCTCTTTCTTTTTTCAGAAAAGATTAGGGGACTTAAAACTTCTGCTTGGAAAGCCCCAGAGGTGTGTGCTGGTTTTGGAAGCACTTTGAACAACAGAATGCCCGTGTTAACACATTCAAGCTAGTAAAAAAAAGAAAGCTTAACTTTAGAAACTTAAGTTACTTTTGAGAGACTTTATTTCTATATTTACAGAACTATTACTCAAATAATTCAAAATTATATAAATATTAATGTAGAATACCATTTGTTAACAACAAAATTAAAAGGGGCCTGAGGATGTCATCTTTCCTACATAAATAGCATTATTATGAGAAACATGGAAGTAAGTTATCTCAAATACTATTTTTCTCTATTAAGTGAAGGATGCACATGTTATAGCTAAAGAGGTTGCTCATCATTTACAAAAACTAGATTAACTGTTACTTATCAAAAGACCTCTCACATTTATAAACACATGTACAATTAAATTTTGTTATATGTAATACATGCAAAAATAGACTTTAAACAATAGATACCATAATATTTATTAAAGTCAAATGTTTCCAAGTTTTAAAAAGTAATCAGCTGACAATGAATTGTCTTATTTGTACTGGGGAGAAACAAATCACATTCTACAAATACAGGAATTGTAGGTATATTTGAAAACTCTTTTCTAAGGATAGAGTGCACCTCACCCTGGAAATCCCCACTCCTCCCACTTCTGCATGATCTCTTTAGTTTCCAGAATCAAAAAGGTAAAATAAAATGTGGCTATCATTCTTGTTCCTAGTGGATGGCTTTTAGGTATTATATTACATTTTAACAGTCTTCGTTTAGGAACCAGAAAACAGAAGCACGATCTTGTTAATCAAATGCTCATAAATGTCAGCAAGAATGAGAATTAATCAGTTTATGTAATTTTTTTCACATGGTGATATAAAAATAGTTACTGTTCCTGGGCACAGAGCTAAAGAGAATACATAAACAAGCAAAGTTATTAAGTAAACATAAGACTTCACACATCTTTCAGTGAAAACTTGCTAACAAACACAAATATTTCTATTACCTACCCTGTTAGCTTTTGCTCTTCTCTTCTTACCTGTGAAACACTTTTTAAACAAAAGTAAATCATTGATAAAGCAGTGGTCATTCAGAGCTAAATTAAGGTGCAATGCTGTCCCATAATGAGGCCCAAACATAATATGAAAACTTTTGAACTGTATACATGGAAACCTACCCTGCCTTCTTTGGTAGATAAGAACTTTTAGTTCTACAGGTTTGGGATTTGAAATAAATGAATTGCTAAACTGTAAAACTAGTAGTTATCACATGCTTTTTGGATATTTTGTTACAGGTAAAATGTTTCAGGTGGGAACAGGGATATAATTTGTATCTCCTCTCCTTCCCTCCTTCTTAACTGGGCTTTAATGATATGATGGAGAACGTGGCTGCATGTCCCTCACGCACGAACATAAGGACAAGTACTATCCCATACGCTGATGGCAAAGTTCTACTTTCGGACCGTCAGGTTCAGATCGGCCTCAGTAGACAACTGATACGGCTCTGTAGATTAGATAGAATGATTTCTTTTTAGCAGTATTTTCATTGAAGTATAATATACATAAGTTGTACAGCTTGATGAATTATCATAAAATGAAAACATACCTATAGCCACTACCCAAATCGTTAAGTAGAACACGATCAGCACCCCAAAAGCCCTTTTGGGGGCTTCTGGTCATTACCTCTCATCTTCCTTGATAGATTTAATTATAATATCACTGATTAGTTTTGTCTACTTTTGAACTTTATATAAATGACGTCTACACTGTAGTATCTTGCGTATGGCTTTTGTTCAATACTCCGTTCGTGAGAGTCACCCACATCATTACTGTATAGTGTTCCACTGTATGAATAGATGACTCTTTATTCATCATTTTACTGATGAAGGCTATTAGAGTTATTTTATATGTTGGTGGATTCAGATTGCTAATATTTAGTTTAGGAGTTTTCACATCTATGTTCATTACAGAGATTGGCTTGTCATTTTCCTTTCTGAATTGGGTCCTGTCGGGTTTTGGTGTCAGGGTTTTGCTGGGCAAGACTGAAATGGGTGGAAGAACTTTGAAAGGGTGTATAAGAACGGTATTTTTTTTCTTAAATATTTGGTAGAATTCACTAATGAAGCCATCTGGGCATTGGGGTTTCTTTGTGGCATGGTTTTAAACTACAAGTTCAACTTCTTTAATAG